TGTTTTGTAAATAATTCTGAATAGTTCCTGAAATAGGTATGACTTGAGTATGTCATTTTTACTTGTAAAAACTTTTTCGTTGTTCCTATTATTACTCATCTTTTGCTATTTTCTATGCACATGCCATAACCCTTGAATAAGGAGGACAAGTAACACCCTTTCACGAAATTATCGTTTCAGACCCATCGCAAAAACTGATCTGAAAAAACAGTTCATTCCGTGCGACAAATACTCTAAACTTCGACAGCTTCCTACGATCTACAAAGCCCGTTTCATAATTCTATTTTTACATTAAAGGATCAACACCCATACATACTTTGAAGCTCTTGAATTCCAATCAGAGACGAGCCATCCAATTGGTTGGTGATGCCACACTGACTAATTCCTTGATATCATAGGAACCGAGCAGGAGAGTCAGCTACCTTACACATTTCTCAAGATACTTTCACGGAAAAAGATTTTCAAAAATCTCTGCTTTGTCAACCTCGAGATATATCCAAAAATAAAGTTTTAGAATTATTTGCCAAAATATGTTTTCTCAAAGGCGTATAACCTTCAGAACTCCAGAAAATCAATGCACTTCCTACCTACTCTTCTTATTCTCCCCAGTAAGCACGATGTTTCTAGAACATAATGCAGAATCATCCACAATGTGTCTAGACATTCTTTAGTAAACACAAATAAAGTTGAAATATGTGACAGCGAGCATCTTTTGAAATCACGATTATGTCGGTAAAAAGATACAGTTATCAGGTATGTAATGTCCATCTTTCGATGTTAGATAATTTCCAGTCTGGCGACTTGTTAACATAATGAGCTGTTTCAACGAGGTCATGGTATATGGTCTCTAACTCGAACAATATGACTTTTTCGTTGATATAATGTTGAACCATAATATCTCTCTACCATTATCTATTTTATCTATGCATCATTCAGTAGCCAGCTGTTGAACCTGATTTTTATACTTTGGGGAGAACATCTTGTCTTCATGAAGACGGTAAATGATCATCCACTGAATATGTAAACGTATGTTTTTCAATGAGCCAACGGTCATCTGATTATCAAACTGTGACAGAAGGTCAATGAGAAGGAATGTAAATCCTTGAGTAATCCCAACTAAACTTATATTTCAATGAAATTATGAAGCGGAAAAACTTGAAATCTCAGTCCATATGAATTGAGAATCTCATTTCGCTACGTATTTCAACCCCTGAGGGGCTGAATATGTTACAAAATACGTATTAATGAACTAGAAGTTTCATCACCATTAGGAGAGAGGAGCAGGAGGAGAGAAGAAGAAAATTACTTAAAAATAGCTAACAAGTTAGTCACAGAGTCAGATGAATACGTGCGGCAATATCGGAAACCTTTCTGAATTTGGGTTGAATGAACTCCCAAAAGAACATTTCTCAACTTCGTTCATTTTAACGTGTGGAAATAAATCGAAGCCATGAAGTACAGATGGATAAAACATTGGACTGAATCAGGTGACATCTGTCATCTATCATTTACATAGAACGAGAGAGATTGACAATACTCAATGGAAAATGACATCAGTGTCTGAATGGATAACAAGTCGAGTACTACTGATAAATAACTATATTGACAATTCCACGACGTATGTGAAAGCAAGAGATGAAGTTGGTAACCTTTAGGATGAACATATAGGTCTTCATAATCTTGTGATATCTTTCGTCTGTCTATTTTCAAGCATATGGTAAGCGAAACAAGATGCAGTGTGTTACTATATTCTTCAATTGTTTTTTCGTGTTTTGCTGTTGACAACGAACGTAGATTCGTTCCCGATGGGTACAAAAGCAGATTCAAAATTCCATATTTTTCACTTCAGTATTGGCTCCAGCCTGCCCAGCCAGCCAAACACAAGTCACGAGAGATAGATATCTCAACTGTTTGAAGTCCAGTTGAGTATATCAAAACTGTGCATCGAAGTGCGATAACTCAAACCTAAATTTTTTTAGTTTTTTTTAGTTTTGAGTATCAAGATCCCTCAATATTAAAACTAGGGAACACTGTTGGACTAAAATGAATTTCATTTCAATCAATGATGATTCTTGTCTTGTGGTCGAATCTATTATTCCAACATTATATACAGTTGGGTACTTATATGTAAAATTAAAAGCAGAATCAATCTTTAGCCAAACGAAGAAGTTCCAATAGGTACCTCACAAAAAGTACAACACATGAGAGTGCCTGGGTAACATAAATTAAAGAATGAGAACTCACTTTTTTGCGATTGATCTACTTTTCATCGGCTTCAGCCTGCCGAGGCAGCCAAATACATTCCACACGAGATATCTGAACTATTTCAATCCAGTTGACTATATAAAAAAATGTGAAACATGGTGCAAAAATTTCAACATAATAAAATTACTTCAATAGTTGGAAGTATCAAGGTATCGAGATGTATTTTCATCCGTTCAACCGAAATGAATTTCATTGGATCCAGCGATATTATTCCTCCTTCAGTCAAATCTCTTATTTCACGTTAGATGAGTACCAGTAACTCATATGTCGAATTCTGAACAGAATGGAATATTTATTTTCAGACAAACGAATGATTCTCAATAGGAAGCTGGTCAAGAGAACAAACCAAACACAATACACGAGTGCCAGAGTAATAACAGGAATAAAAGAACAGGAACTTCCATATCTGCGAAATATCTGAACATCGTCCGCTTCTGTCTGCGCAGCCAGCGAAAGACGACATGTTACACAAAATATATTCCAACTGTTCGTAATCTAATTGAATATATAATTTCATCAACAAATATGTGCAATAGTGCGAAAATTCAAACATTCACGTAATTGTTCTAGTTGGAAGTATCATCAGGATGTCTTTCATTCAGTTGAGTACCTATATAACAATATGTGCACAATTGTGCAAAAATGCAGACCTATATCCTTTCTAGTTGATAATGTATCAAGATGCCATTGATGTTATGAATGCGCCATACTGTAGATATTTCCATTTTCCAATCGCTCGACTAGAAACATGTTCATTGGATTCAAAGATGTTTTACCTTGTTAAGTCCAATTTATCATTTCAACCGATTTCAACATTGGATGGAAACAGTTACTCATGTGTTGAATTACCATAATCGATGAGTTATCTTCAGCCAAATGAAAAAGTTTCGATACATCATGTACTTACCTACACCTACTGTCATCTGAGTATACTTAAACCGATTTTTTCAACATTTTACTGATTATTCCCGATCTGGAGAATCGGAACGCATCGAGATATTTGTGGTTTTTCAAATGGCAAAGATATATTCTCTGAGAATTACTGCTGTTTTTTGATACGCTGTTTTTTTTGGGTTTTTGGCGTTTCATTCAACCGTTAGGCACGGGTTATATGGAACAATATCATCAAGAAATCTAAAATGAAAAAGCTTTCAAGAAACTGAAAGAGAAAATGAATTGAAACAAGTGCAAATCATCTTTTTATTGTTTCACATTAAAATTCTGGGTATACAAAATGAGATAAAAGTCTACATAAATGTGAAAGAACAGAAATGATATCAGAGTCAAAGCTTTCATCAATATTTAACATCTCAAATCAAAGCACCCCAAAATGTATGACACTCACCGTTGTATGTAATAAATCTAATCATGGAAAAAATTGCAATGGTTAGTTGAGGTTATGCACAAATATTGTTCTGAAAGAACTGAGTATTCAGGACGATGGGTTTCAGATATTTAGATGACATTTCGGATGAGACTATTTGAGGTTACTAAAACAAGCTTATACAAGTGCAATATTTTTCAATACTTATTTGAAGTAGGTAGGTACTCAATTTTTGATTTTTGTAATAAACGGTAACACCATAAAGTCTTTCGTTCATCTGACAGACCTTTTGACAAACAAGTTGATCAACAATGTGAAATTGACATAACCAAAGCACCCATCTGAAGATAAATTACTCACCTGATATTTTGAATAACCCTAGCCGTTTCATATACATTGTGCCCATTTTTCAAGCTTCACCATGGGGATCTCAGTTATCATAAGATATACGAGGTCGGTTAAATTGAGGCAAAGTTGCACATTTTCATGCTGGATATTGATCTGCAAGAAAATACGATGTGCCATTTTTAGTTTTTGAATTATTTGAAGAGAACGAAAATTTCTGATTTACCAACCAAAAGACGTAGACCTCTCTGACTAGGACATTCTCAAGGCACTTTTTTACAAGGAATCTGAATCTGTCATCGTATTTTCCATGACGTTCTTGATGTCCAAGTTACAACATTTAACTTTCTTTTTTCTTATGGGCGCCATATCAGATTTTTGCATTTTTGGAAAGTCTTCTTTTTCTGATTACAACTCGAATTACAATGATGTATCACACGATATGATCGAATCTTTCCTGCCGATCAGAGTTGGCAAAAAAAACATTTTTGCGAAAGGTGCTTTTGGAAGAAAGATTTGATCATATTGTGTGATACATCATTGTATGTAATCAAAAAAAAAATACTTTTCAAAAATGTGAAAATTCAATATGCCGCCCATAAGGAAAAACGGAGTTGTGTGCTGTAACTTTGACATCAAGGACGTCATGGAAAATACAATGACATATTCAGATTGCTTGTGAAAAAGTGCTTCAAGAATGTGTCAGTCAGAAACGTCTAGGTCTTTTGGTTTCCTCTTGAAAAAATAAAAATTTTTCGTTTTCTTCCAATGGTTCAAAAACGAAGAATGACACATCAAATTTTCTTGCAGATAAATGTTCAGCATGAAAATGCGCGACTTTGCCCTAATTCAACCGACCTCGCATCTCTTATAATAACTGAGATCACAATGGTGGAGCTCGAAAAACGGACACCCTGTATATTCAGATGACGATACTCATCGATCAGTTCTCTCCAATAAACGAAGAAGTTCTAATTGATAGGTACTTCCTCGAAAGAACAAGCCATGCACAACACATAAGAGTGCCTGACTAACAGGAATGAGGAATGAATGAACGGGAACTTACTTTTCTGTGAAAAACCTAAATGTCATCGGCTTCAGCCTGCCAAACACATGTCACACTATATACCTCGACCGTTCGCAGTCAGTCGCGCACCAACCAAATCAGTGATTTACGTCGACTCGCACACAAACATAACGGAACCGCCGATCCTAGCACACTGGCTGTCGCCCATTCATGGCCCTCGGTGGGACCAGAAGACCGTGCGCGAAGAAGAAGAATCAAGAATCAGAAGAAGACTAGCGCAGCGAGCCAAGGCTTCCTCGATTCGGCAACGACTGAAGACTAATTCTATCGGTAACGCTCGAGGACGAGGAAGAGAGGTCCGCGATGATTCCGCGGCCATGGGTGGTACTAGTGGTCGGGGAAACTAAATGGAAAAGAATGGGTTAGATTGTGGTGGGCAAACTTTTTCCGCGAGGGGCCAGAAAAATAGAATGAATAAATGCGGGGTGCCTGCTGGAATGAGTACAAAATCGGAAAGCGCTCAATTTCGTCTGGAACAAAGTAACATTCGAAATGCCTAATAGCTTCGATGAGACTTTGAAGAGGTAGCAAATTGGCCTTTATGTCCATATCCTATTGAGAAGTTTCGAGATACAATGATAGAGCTATCGCATAAAAAAATTGGGCATTCAGCTCACTTCGGTTTTAGGAGATAGCTTTGTGAGAGTCATTGAGATTCTCTATCAGAACTATTCACTCTTAAAAACCCTCTCGAAACACTCAAGTTTCATTAGTGTCTCGAGTTTGACCAAGAGGTTTTGAACTAATCCGATGAAAATAATACCCCATAAAGCAAATATAAAACCAAATTTACGCTAGGCCAATTAGGATAGGCAATGATGAAACCTAATAACATTATTCTAGCTATGTGGAAGTGATCATCAAAACCTATAAGTCACAATGAATTCATCGAAGTCAAACATAAAATCCGAAGAATTTATAAAGTTTTTTTTAGGACCGTGTCCAACCCAAACCCAAAACACAAAATATAAATGTTCTTATCATTTGCCTACATCGACTCAAATTGAAATTAACTCACAAGAAAGTAAATTGTGTGGGATTTAGGGAAATGGCAACTTCAAGCGAAAAAATGAAGAAGATTACTTAAGAATCAAAAATCAAGTCGCAAATAGGAATTTTCATGCCGAAACAATTCCAAACACTGCGTCTTCCAATTCATCCAAACTGAAACCACCAGATAGCAAGAATTCATTAGGATCTGATGTTCGTGAAGTTTCATCAATGAGTCAGAAAGTAATGGAAAATATTTTTGATATATCTGAATGGGAACTAGGAAGCGAGGAAGTTGACAACAATTTAATAGAATTTGAGAAAATGGTGAATGCTCCACAATATCAGGCAAATGGTTATTTCAGAATCCAAAAAGTTTTTGTATTCTCCTGAGTGTAGTTTGTCTATGTTTCCTACTCGGTTACCTACTTGAAACCAATCACAAAATTTACAAACTGAACATTGTGAATAACATGAGTAGGGTTATGTTGATCATGTTGATGACGTTCTTCTACTTTTTGCCATACTGCCCAATGAGCACTGGCTAGGATATTTTTGAACCTTCATAGTTTTATGAAAGAAAGCAACATCGTATATTCTTCTTATATCAATCTTATCATTTTCGAAGCTTTGTTGTCATACCCAGAAACACACAGTCATAAGAATGGATTTGAATATGCTATGAGTACTTTGACAGAAGGAAATCGTCCCATAAAATGCCTTATCATTACCTGAAGGTTTTGATTAATCATTAGAGGAAGAAAACTGGCTTTGGGTATATTTTGCACCATATTTTCCACAAACAGATGTCGGCCATTGATGGATATGAAAATGTCAAGCGGAAAATGAAAAAGATTCATTGATACTGCCGTCGAAGATGTTGTTTTTCGACATTTTTCAAACGACTCACCCATATTCAGCAAATATTCATACAGTTTCGTCAACTTTTTTGAAGTATTATTAAAATTCACATCCAATTTCAACTGGTGAAAACACATTATTTCTAGGGCGCTGCTTGTTGTTTTGGAGCATATGTGGTATGTTTTCGTCAAAATAAGTCGTCATCGTTTTCATTTTAGAGCCTCAATCTTCACAAAAAAGACTATTTTATAATTATTCATTGTTTTTACTCTATGTACTGTGTGTTACTGTGTGTGTTACTGACATGTTCGTATTATGATTTCTTCTGAAAAAATACTCCTATATAACACGTTACGGGCTGAAGTGCTCAAAGAAACAAGTGCACCACTGAAATATTCGACAATTCCCGAACTGCCTTATCTTTTTAGAAAATCAATGGATTCTCAATCAGAATGCAGTGCTTGGGAGATGCGATATTTCTGATCAAGATTACTCGTTCGAAACTCGTCGGGAATTTTCCTGTCATTATACACAAAGTGTTCGAATGAAGTATTACAAAAATGAAAAAACTCAAACGCTTCCGTATTCCAGGAAATCTTTTTTATTTTTCTATTTTCGAACGTTCAAGCCAATATCTCGTAACGGTTTTGTGATTCTCCATATTCCTCATAAAGGGTGTTGAAAATCGATGATTTTTAATTTTCATGTTTTTAACGCATCATTTCCGATTTCAAACTTATGCAAGCCACATTAAACGTATTTTGCCACTCTATACCATGAAACACATCCTAGAAAATGTATTCATATTGAGTTGAAATCATCGACAACTCTAACAAAAGAATAATTAATTCATTTTTAGAAATGTTCAGAATTTCGTGAAATCGTCTGTTCAAATTGGTGCTGCCATAACCATATGCTATGCTAAACACAAATCATTCATTTGGATCGATTGCTCTGCTCAGTATGTCGGATTAATTTCATGATTTTTCAGATGAGGCAATCCAAGGGGGCGCAAGGAGGCCCTTCTGGATTATCCTGACCAATTCATGCAATAACGATGCTACAATGATTTTGAGATACTCCTGAGCTGACATGAAGTCAAGAAACCTATTTATCAGAAGGTTTTTCATCGCAAAATCGAAAATCAATCGAAAAAGTATTTTTTCCACAAACGTCAAAAAATGACAAGGTTCGCGCATTGATAACGAATTGCAAAGTGACACTTTTTTTCAGCTTCCTACGTTACCATGATACATTGCACAAAACAATGCGCGGCGTGAAACAGTGCGCGAAGTACCTACTTCGCGCATTAATTGTTATGTAAAATTTATGAGATATTCATATTTCAACTTTATGGTCCTCGATCGAGCGAACAACCACGAAATTTTTCTTTTCTGAATATTCAACAATAACACTGTTTCATCTTGGAGCGCACGAAAGAAAATTCCTATTATGTTCGTGAAACATCGTGCTTACCTAGGGAGGATATAGGGGGAGGCCTTTTGAGCCAGTTGAACACTATTTTTTATATAATATATATAAGATAAGCATATTTTTACTTCAGAACGATATTCTTTGACGTTTGTAGAAAAAAATTTGTTTGCAACTCGAGCGCGAAATACTTTGGTCATCTCGACCATTTTTGGTCATCATTGGTTCGACAGGAGGCAGACGATTTCACCAAGATCTGAACATTTCTCAAAAAAATTTTGATTTTTCTTTTGTTAAAGTTGTCGATGATTTCAACGCAATATGAATCCATTTTATCGGATATGTTCCATTGTATAGAGTGGCAGAATACATGGAATGTGGCTTGCATGATTTTAAAATCAGAAATGATGTGATGAAAACCCTAAATTGAGGAATTATCTATTTTCAACATCCCGCATGAGGAATATGGAAAATTACAAATTCGTTTCGAGATAATGGCTTGAACGTTCGAGAAAAATTATTAATAATGAAATAAAAAAGATTCCCTGGAATACGGAAGCGTTTGAATTCTCTCATTTTTGTAAAACTTTTTTAGAACACTTAGTGTATAATGACAGAAAAACTCTCAAAGAGTTTTGAACAAGAAATATTGAACATAAAGATCGCATTTTCCAAACACTGCATTCCGATTAAAATTCCATCCATTTTTTAAAGAGTTATGATAGTTTGAAAATTATAGAAAATTTCAGTGGTCCACTTGTTTCTTTTATCTTATCTTGACAAATGCTTACTACAACTGATAAGGTTTTAATTCTAGCCAATATGTGTTTCAACGTTGGCATAAGAACTGTCGCTTCAAGGCATATAGGTTTGAACTCGTGCACGTTTTATTATTGCTTTGAGGCAAAAACAATAATTTCCTTTTAGTTTAATGACAAACTTCAAGAAAAGCTGTGACAGCTTTTATAAAGATGGGCCCTGTATGTTTTGAGAAGGTTGTTTTATTGTCTTAATGATATTATTGAAGTATAAAAGTTTTGAAAAGGCATTTCAAAAAACAGGCTGTAACAACCTCCTGTAGCAAACGATAAAACTGAAAATGTTATTTGGGTACAGCTGAGCTCGGCTCAGCATTTTTTTCGAAAATGTCTGGGTCTTGGTTTGAATCCTGGCAGCATCTCGGCGCCCTAGTAGTGATGCGAAATCTACTATATACTATAAACTATAGGCTCCGCTCTTCCTAACTCAGCGATAAGTTGCGGATTCTGGGTAGTTGGTTCCCAAATTAGAAAAAGCAATATAGTTTTTTCTTTCACTGAAAAATATTCCACGGAATTCACGGAGAGGTTACTCAAAGTCAAAGGGTGATTCCTTGTGATATTATAGGAAATAACGTTTATTAAATATATCTCCTAACTTGCTTCGTTTTCGAGATACACGGTATCAATATTTTTATGAAAAATATTTTTTCTATTCATTTCTCAATTGTCGTTTCATCAATTTCAATGAAGCGTCGTGGTTTTGTTGATAGTAATATTCTCCTCTCCTAGCTGATTAGATTCGAAGTTTCATATTTTTTCTTCTCACATAACTGAAATGGCATTTAGCGGACGGATATGTCCCACGCTAAATGATCGATTAATCACGGATTGTCGAACTGTGATTTATTCAAAATATTGAACACGTTACCATGGCAACACGATTTCTCAAACACATTACCATGACAACGCAGTTCATTAAACACAGCTTCAGTAATTTGAGACATGTCTGGCCTGTCAATTGTATTAACTGTCAACTGAATTCTTAAAATTTTCTATCAGAATTAT